AATAATAATAATAATAATAATAATAATAATAATAATAATAATAATAATAATAATAATAATAAAGTTGGAAGGGACCTTGGAGGTCATCGAGTCCAACCCCCTGCCCAGGCAGGAACCCTACACCATTTCAGACAAACGGCTGTCCAGTCTCTTCTTAAAAACTTCCAGTGTTGGAGCATTCACCGCTTCTGGAGGCAGGGTGTTCCATTGGTTAATTGTTCTAACATTCAGGAAGTTTCTCCTTAGTTCTAAGTTGCTTCTCTCCTTGATCAGTGATGAAATCCTTTACGTCTTCCTCCACCCTTTCCAGAAATACAAGGGCCATTTCATCCTCTAGAAAGCTCATCCTTTTTTTCCCCCCCAGCATCCCAAGGGAATGCTCCAAGTCTGGGAAAGGAAGAAAGAAAGAAAGAAAAAAAAAATCTCAAACATGGCAGAGAAAGTCCAGACGAACATTCCTACCTTATTGAGCGATTTGTTATCCATCCAGTAAGGAGCGGGTCAAAAATAGGATCAAACCATTGAGCAACAAAACTACTACAGCGACTTTTTTTGGGGGGGGGGGAAGTGCTGAGAAGAGCAGCTAGGATGATTAAAAGCCTGGAGGTTAAAACACACACGAAGAACGGTTGCAGGAACTGGGTATGTCCAGTTTAATGAAAAGAAGGACTAGGGGTGATAGGATAGTAGTATTCCAGTATTTGAGGGGCTGCCACAAAGAAGAGGGGGTCAACTTATTTTCCAGAGCACCAGAAGGCAGAAAGGAACAGATGGAAACTAATCAAGGAGAGAAGCAACCTGGATCTAAGGAGGAATTTCCTTCCGGCAAGCGCAATTAGTCAGTTGAACAGCTTGTCCTCAGAAGTTGTGGGTGCTCCATCCCTGGAGGTTTTTTAAGAAGAGACTGGACAGCCATTTGTCTCAAATGGTATAGGGTCTCCTGCTTGAGCAAGGGGTTGGGCTAGACTAGAAGACCTCCAAGGTCCCTTCTAGCTCTATTCTGATTGATTGGCTGTTACTATACCTTAACACACACCACAGTTTAAAAAAAAAAAAGAGTCCTTACTAACTGTCGAAGCAATGAGTTTCATCTTTCGGAACCATGACGCCTACTTTCCGAGACTCTGTAACCCAAATCTCTTTTTCCTTGCATTCAGCCTCATTCAGGCTCTTCGTGAATGGAATCAGGGCGTTGCTGTTTAAAACCCCGGTCGGCAGTCTGTCTCATTGGGGCATCAGCCTATTTACCCCAGGAAGTTTCTCCCAACCTTTAGCTAAAATCCACAGCTCCTTCGTAACGTCCAGCCCCTTGGCCCGATACCCTTTGCAGTGCCAGACGACTACCCAGTTTCATTGCCTGTCCTTTGTGCACATACTGAAGCCCTCATCTCTCCTTTAAGCATCTTTTTTTTTTCCCCTCTGCTAAACCGCATTAACTGCTTAAAGCATATGTTAGAGAAATGGAGAACAGGGTGGGGCTTGCAAAAAAAAACAAAATCAGAAATATTGGCTGCCTTCCACGGAATTTGAATCTGAATCTCTCTCTCTCTCTCTCTCTCTCTCTCTCTCTCTCTCTCTCTCTCTCTCTCATTCTCTCATTCTCTCTCATTTTTTTGCATCGCCAGCACGTGGCAGTAAGAGGCAGTCTGTGCCTTAAGCGTCTTCTCTTTCTCTCATTGTGAGCTGCTGGGTCCTTACCGTGGGGGGCACCGTATGTCTCTCTGGATGTTTATGCCGAAGGCCTGTTTGGGTTTGCTATCTTTGGCACCCAGTCTGAGAAAGCTGGGGATCAACTGAGAAAGTAGGACCTGGCTTGGTCGAGAAGGAGGAGAAGATTACCATCATTTTTTTTTTATTTTTCCTTCTCCCCCTCCCCTCCTGAAGGAAACACACTGCAAAGCCATGGCTCGGATGGCGGATTCTGCCTGCTTTTCAGGAGCTGGATGGGGTGGGGGGGCTTCTCAGCTGCTGGGCTTGATTTGAGTAGGGGGATTGCGAAGAGAGAGACACCTTCATACTCAGCCTTGAGATGCTCGCGCCCAGGATGACGGTGAGGTGTTATTCCCGGAGAGAGGATCTCTCACAAAAGCTGACGAGGTGAGTGTTGGCTGGAAAAAGAGACAGACCCTGGCCGGCTTTAAAAATGGCAAGCTGACATTTTGGGAGCCTGGTCTGATCTCTCTTTTTTTTTGGCCAGCCTGGGGGTGGTGGTGGTGGTGGTGGGGAGAAGAATGGGGGAGAAATGTGACTGTATTGGTTGAAAAAGCAGTTCTTTGGCGCCCGGGGATGCTGTGAGTTGAACTCGCGAATCTCAGAAGCCCAGATTTAGGGAACGAAGCCTCGGTCCAACTTCTAACCCTCTTTCAATCGGCCTCCCGTGGAGAGCTTTTGCCTCGGTGCCCCTCTTTCTGACCCCAAGGCAGAATCTCTCCACTCCTTAGAAGAAGGTGTGTCTCTGCAGGAGTCATGGCTTAATCAAGGAGAGAAGCAATCTAGAACTAAGGAGAAATTTCCGAAACAGTGAGAACAATTCACCAGCGGAACAAGCTCCCTCCAGAAGTTGTGGATGCTCCATCACTGGAGGTTTTAAAGAGCTTAGACAGCCATTTGTCCGAAAGGGTATAGAGTCTTCTGCTCGAGCTGGGGACTGGACTAGAAGACCTCTAAGGTCCCTTCCAATTCCATTATCCTCTTAACGCCGTGGAACAGAGAAGCTTTGCCTATCGGTGAACGGACTGGCAAAGACTTAGCAGAAAGAGCTTGCTTTCTGCCGATCAACTGGTGGGGTTACTTTCCTTCTCCCCAGTTCGGGATTAATCTTGGGGGGCGGACAGTAATATTCCTGGCATTTTGTAAAGGATGATGTGGTGTGCCTCTAACTGAATCCACACAACTCAAGTCACAATGAGACAGCACGCTGAGGGATCTTCTGCCAGTCAGGGCTGAGCTGTTGTTCAAAGCGAGGGTTGACTTAATTCATCATCTTGAGCTATTTTCTCTGGGTGTTTGGAGGAAAGAAAACTACAGTTAAAGGTCCAGCAGGGGTTGGTTTCCTTTGTCCCTGCCTTAGTGGCCGTCACTGTAGCAAAACCCTCTGCTGGATACGAGAAAATCTGTGTTCAGCCTTGTTTGGATGCTAGATAGGCTAACTCTTTTGAGGAGAAGAAAGAATAGAATAGAATAGAATAGAATAGAATAGAATAGAAGCTGGAAGGGACCTTGGAGGTCTTCTAGTCCAGCCCCCTGCTCAAGCAGGAGAACCTACACCATCTCAGACAACTGACTGTCTAGCCTCTTCTTAAAAACCTCCAGCGATGGAGCGCCCATGATTTCTGGAGGCAAGCTGTTCCAGTGGTTAATTGTCCTCACAGTTAGGAAGTTTCTCCTTAATTCCAGGTTGCTTCTCTCCTTGATCAGTTTCCATCCATTGTTTCTCGTCTTGCCTTCAGGCGCTTTGGAGAATAAGTTGACCCTCCTCTTCTTTGTGGCATCCCCTGAAATACTGGAATAACTGCTATCATGTCACCCCTATTTCTTCTTTTCTTTAGACTAGCCAAACCCAAATCCCGTAGCCGTTCTTCGTATGTTTTAGCCTCCAGGCCTTGGATCATCTTCTCTGATATTTTTTTTCACTGAATTAGTGGGCACCGTGACTTTTAGCTAACTTGGTACATCTTCAAACTCATCGTTTAGAATAAATTGCCCTTAATCTTAGAAAATGTGCTGTGGAGTTTGACACGGGAAGCTCTTCTAGACTATCTGACAGGACAGAACTGGAAGTTGAATTCAGTGCTAGAATTTAAGAGAGGGTTGGTTTTTTTTTAAAGAAGAGATTGGAAAGCTATTTGTCTGAAGTGATATAGGATCTCCTGCTTGAGCAAGGGGCTGGACTAGAAGATCTCCAAGGTCCCTTCCCACTCTGTTATTCTGATTGTGTAGACCACCCCCTGACTGCTATAGAAAATCCATTTGCTCGGCATCTTTAGATAAAACCTCTAAAATATAAAAGTCTTCCCTCTTTTGGGCACCCTGTAGATGTCAGGAGCTACAGCCCCAGCATTTACTGCCTACACGACATAACGGTGGCTATAATCCAACACATTTGGGATAGGGAAACTTGGGCAAAGATTGACAGGCATCCACTGAAGTCTTTAAACCTTCTTTCTAAAATTAAGCTTCTTTGAAAAAAAAAAATAACAATATTTTACCGTCTTTCCTCTGCGCATGTTATTTTTCTTGGATTTTTTTTTTTT